TGGGGCATGTGTGGGGCAAGAGCAGAGGTTTGCAGACTCACACTTTATACAGTCCTGTTGGGAAATGTAGGGCCCAGATGTGCCCAGTGGGGTTGCCCATGATGTGGGTCGACTGTGGACTGCCCACACTAAGCAAAGCAGAGAGGGGGCCACAATGGGGGCTCATGTAGGCCTGCAGTAAACTAACAATATGCCAACACTGTAGGTTTCGGGCACTATTTGGGCCCCACCTAACAGCACAGGGCCAGATGTGCCCCACATATTCCTCCAGTAATGGGGCCTATAGTGGGCTGCCCACCTAAGCCCCATGGTGCTGGGTCCATATGTGCCCTATGGTACATTAACATAACCAACTGGTTTGCAGTTCATAAAAAGAATCCAAAGAAAAGCTACTTTCAGCTGCTTCCTTCACATGGGGTCACCAGAGCAAGTAGCACCAAATCTTTGTTGTATCACATTTGATTCCTGCTAAAACAACCTCCAAAGGATTTGTGCATCCTCATAACCTCATACTGGGAGTATTTTACGTATTAGATAAATATGTAAACCCTTTTTATAAATACCCTTACCCCCCAAAAAGGAAACAAACTCAAGTCTTATCAAACAAGTCGGCATGTTTTAGAAAATGGAATAGGGCCTGATAACTTTAACTGAGGGTTTCAATCAGTCGCCTTTTCTGCGCCTTATATTTCTAAGAGTGTAAAAAAATATGTTCTATGTTATACGATTTTCACATTCCCCTGTGTGGTGCGTCCCTATTATATATACAAATATAATAAAAAATGTAAAAAATACAACAAATTAAATAGAAACTGCAAACCCCAAAATGCACGAGATTAGGAATTAAAAAATATTTCATATGAATTCAAATGCAGAGCTTAAAGTGTTCTGCTTCTACTTATTCTTCTTCTGACTGCTACCTTCAGGGTCGGTACAGCAGATGTCTCTGTCTCACCTTAGCATGTAACAGAACAGGCCTCTACTATTAGACCTTTACTACATCAAGTCTTTTCTCCGTCTTCTTCTTTTTTTCTCCTGCCTGTCAGCTCCAAATTCACCATGTTTATTATATCCACTATCCCTCCTCTGCGCATGTCACAATCAGCCTTGGCTTTCTAACTTCATCTCCACACAGCTCAACCTGACTCTCTCTGATATATTTCTAACCCTGCCCACCCTGCTCACACCAAACAAGTCTTAGTATCTTCCACTCTGCCACCTTCAGCTTCACCTCCTGTCTTTGTTAGTGTCACTCTCTCCACACCATGCATCACAGCAGATCTTACTACCATCATGTGAATCTTCCCTTTCACTCTTGTTGCCATCCTTTTGTTACATATCAAGCCTGACACTAGTCTCCATCCTGCCTGCACTCTCTTCTTCACTCCCTTGTGCATTCTCCAGTGCTTTGAATAGTTGACCCCAGGTATTTAAACTCATCCATTCTTGATCTCTCCACCTTGCGTCTTCACTGTGACAGTGTATGTGGTCTTGTTTCATCCCTCTTCTCTCCAAATCATTGCTCCACTTCTCCAGGCTCTTTTCCCACCCCTTCCTGTTCTCAGTATAGCTCACAATGTCATCAGCAAACATCAGTTTATTGAGACTTGCCTGACCTCAGGAGTCAACCCATCCATCACCATTGCAAACAAGAAGAGGCACTGATCGTTCATGTAATACCACCCTGTTAGGAAAATATATTTTATGTTTTATTTGCTGTGTATTTTGTCTTATGCATTTAATAACGAGGCCACCTTTCAGTTATAAACTGTGCCAGAGGTCATTAGGTTCTTTACCCAGACTGAAACTGTGCAGAGCAGGAAGCTTTGTGCAAAGTTGCAGAGAACATTGCCTATTGTTATGTATTGGTTGTTTATTCTCAGCACATCAAAACTGAATCAGGACAACCCCCACCTCAAAGCCATTTATCATTCCCACTGCACGTATCACTACTGTCTCACTGTCCTCATACTTGTCCTGCACCACCCTCACATACAGAACCACAGCTACTGTCTTGGCACCATCCTCTGTTTTCCATAGATCTTTAAAGACACACTGCAACTCCACACATTGCATCTGTGGTGTTTTCTGTTAGCATGAAGCCAAACTGCTGCTCACTGATTGTCACGTCTCTTCTTAACCTACCTTCATCAACTCATTCATGGTATGGCTCAGCAGCTTTGTCCCTCTGTAGCTACTACAGCTCTGCACTTAACCTTTGCTATTAAAATCAGCACCAGTGCACTTCTAGATTTTTCAGCATTTTCATTCATTTTTATTCAATTTACATATGAACTTTACACAATAACTTACAATAAAACAGTTAAATTAAGTGAGCTATTGTCTGGTAGATGTGTTTATGTGATGTGATTTTTTTTTTTTAAAAAGCGATGACACCTAATTAGTCTTCAAAAAAATACGACCAGTTAGCACTTTAGTTGTAGTGCTGCTGTGGGTTCACATGGTGGTGCAGTTTGCTCACCTAAAATAAAGCACATGTACTCAAGGGTCCCACAGAAACCCTGAGGTCAATGTGTGTCAGGCTTGAAGTGTGTTTGCTTTAGTCTTATATACACACAGAAGTGCAGACCCACAATAAACTACTATTACCTTTTTTTTTTTTTTACTTTTTGCTGATTTAGGTTTAAAGTAATTAACTTAAGCGATTAAATAAGAATGACAATAGGATGCCCGCATAAGTGGCAGAAAATAGAAGAATACTTAGATTTCCATTTTTGACACCAAAACGTCAGATTTACATCAACATAAAATCCAAATAGTCATAATAAATAAAGTAGATGTGTGAGAGGTGTTTGGCTGACACACATGAACCTCGAAGGAGAGAGATGAGAACATTTGCACATTTGTGAAAAACAGCACAGAAAGTTCACAGAATATCATCTTTATTTAAGACTCTTATCATGATTTAACCCATTAAATGCTGAAGCAACAGTTCAATAGTAACACCCCCCCCCCCCCTTCTCTTGCTGTTTCTATAAATCAAATTTCCATTTGAACGTTTTTATTTTATTTTCAGTTTTAAAATTATTTTTTGTTGTTCACTCAAATAATGAAATACATTTCTAATTTGTCTGTTTATCTAGATATTAATAGATTTAAGTCAAATTTATTTATAAAGAACATTTAAACAAAGCTTTCACTGACTACCTATATACACAAATGTGCATGTAATTATGTAAAACATGGACACGGAATTAAGAGGCCATCGGCAATAAGCAAATGAATAACAACTACAACAACCACCAGAGGACAGCAGGAGACAGAGTTACAGAGGTAACAGCAAACAGGAGATAAGTGGGATGGAAAGGACGGAGAATAAAGATGAGTTTTGAGCCTATAGTCTCAAAAGCAGAGATGAAGGGCACTCCTTTTGTGTTAAGCTGTAGCCAATTTCACAAACGTGGTGCAGCAGCTGCAAAGGTCTGTCACCGTTTTGTTTGAGGCCTGACCTTAGGACATGTAAGAGATTTATGCCAGTAAATCTGAGAGACCTGGGAGCTGAACATAAACAAACGACACTAGTGATATAAACTGGGGTCTGTCCATTACAAGCCTTAAAAGCAATCAGTAAACTCTTAAGCTGAAACTGGACAGGAAGTTGGGCCAGGACTAGAGTGTAGTACACATACTGTACATGTGTTTCATATATGTGGATCCCCTTGTATTAGATTCATGTTTCAGCTGAGAAAGAATACCATAAAAAGATAAAGGTGAGTGGTATATTTACAGTAGACGAGGCCTTATAATTAATAGATTTCATTCAAGATATGGATTTTTTTTTAATTGATCCTGTTTGCTGTGTGGACAAAGTGTGTTTGTGTTTTTTGTTTGTGACTCTATCCAAAATACAAAGGATTTGTTTAAACCTCTTCACTGGGGCACTAAGTCTCAGCAATAAGTCTGAGGTACACCTTGGCTCCAAAGGGTATGTGAAGTCTTTCGAAAGGAAAGCTGTACCCCGAGAGATCGCACACACCAAATGATCCAGTGCAGAGATATGATTTCTGGTACAAAGGAACCAATTCTGACAAAGAAGAGTTTGAAAAGACAAACACAAAATGAAGAACTGCAGAATGAGCATAAAGACAGGGAATAAAAATACAATCAACCAGAGGAGAATGTAGCAAAAATCTAATAAAGAAAATTAAATTTAATAAAGAAAAGAGAATAATTTGGTACAACTATAAATACCTGAAAGAAGAGAAGAAAAAAGAAACCATAAAAAATTGGAGGGTGAGGAAGAGCAAAAAGCAGAAAAAGAGGGAAAAAGACTGATGAGAAATGTCTGAAAAGATATTTCATGACCTTCAGTGAGATATCATATGGTATATATCAGTATAGGCTGACTTGCTATTGGCTCTTCCTGTATAAATCAGCTGTTAATTAAAAGACTTTTCTCTTTGTGCTTTGATATGAAAAACAAAAACCAAAAACAACCCTTCTTGATGTTAGATAGTTGTGGAAGGCATTTTAGTACAGTAACCTGTCATGTTCAAGAAACCAGTTTGAAATGATTTGAGCTTTGTGACGTGGGTAGACTGTAATTATCAAAGGATAGACATCATCAGCAACAGTACTCAGGTAGCCTGTGACATTTTAACAATGCTCAGTTGACACAGGGAGGCTAAAGGTGTGCCAAGAACGTAGTTCTAATCTTATGTATCTATCCACTTCTGTCGTCCCGTTTTGGTGAGCCTGTGTGAACTATAGCCTTAATTTCCAGGAGTGGCAGCTGGTGTGGTCTTCCGCTGCTGTAGCTTCAAGATTCTACATGTTGCACATTCAGAGATGCTCTTCTGCATACCTTAGTTGTAAAGAGGGATTATTAAATTTACTGTTTCCATTCTGTCACCTCGAAGCAGTCAGCCCGTTCTCTTCAGGCCTCATTTTTACACAGGAAACTGCTGTTTATTGGATATATATTTTAGGACCATTATCTATAAACCCTAGAGATGGTTCTGTTGGGAAATCTCAATAGATCAGCAGTTTCTTAAATATTCTGACCAGACCTTCTGACATCAACAACCATGCCACAATCAAAGTCACTTGAAAATGACTTTTGTTCAGTTGATGCTCAGTTTAACTTCAGCAGGCTGTCCTGAGGATGTGTACTGGTCTTAAGTGACTTGGGGTCCTGCTTTGTGATTGGCTGATTAGGTTTTTCCATGATGAGTAGCTGAACATATGTACCTGATAAAGATGTAGGTGAGTGCATGCCAATATGATTGCACAAGTTAGCAGTTAAGTTATTTGGCATTTCTATTTTATATGAATTTTCTAGCAATAATGCTATTATTAGCACCTTAGCTGTAACCTGGGTAAGCTATATAAATCTGACAATAGTTAGCTTGTACAGCTGGTAAAGTAACCTATAAAAACAGCTAGCTAAGCTACCACCTAGCTCAACCACAGGAGTTCAGATTATCAGTATTTTATATGTTGGTATTTTCTACAGCTGTGTAAAAAAGCTAGCAATTAAACTGTGATACAAGACGAGCTAATGTTACAGAACATTAGCCAGGAGAAAAATGATTATAGAAAACACCTTTGCTGTAGTAGTCCACCATAAAGTCCCACATAAATCACTATACTGGTGCATGTAATGCAGGCTACTGTGCACCCCAGCTGGTAGGAAATGACTTTGATAAGGCAGAGCTCATAAGTTTCATACATTCAAACTTTGGCCACTTTGCTCTGTATAAGGGACACACTGTTGACTTTCTCTAATATTCAGCATCCATATTTCTGATAAATGTAAGTATACGTTAAAACAAACTGTAGATTATTTATGTGCAGGGCAACCTGCCTGTGACAAATAAAGCTTTGATTGATTGATTGATTGATTGATGCGTTTTTGATCTTTTGAAGTGTTTAAAGTTGTTGTATTAAGCTTGCATGTAGAGTATTTCTGCAGTGCTCAGTGATCATAGAATGAGGGTCTTGTAAAATGTAACATTTAAATGTTTTGTTGTGGTATATTTATTGTATTTTTTAAGTTCAACGATTTTTTTAAGCTATTAGATTTCTTGCAGTGCTGTGCAAAAGTCTCAAGCCACCCCTCATTCCTTTATACTTCTATAGGAAAATTGGAAACCGATCCTGTGATTTATTTTGAAAGTGAATATTTGGTGTGACCACCTTTATTCTTTAATACAGCTTGAAGTAGACTTCAGGTATAGTTTATAGGTTTTTTGGAGAAGGACATTCAAAGCTGTTCTTTGCATACTGGCTGACTTTTATCATGTCTTCTGTCACGATGTTCATACATTGCTTCAGTCATGTTCTTGGAAGACAAATCCATGACTGACTGCATCCCACTGTGTTTTTCTATCTATGTGTACTTTTACTTCATTGGCAGCATGTTTGGGATCATCGCCAGTGTGTCTGATGGTTGATTCATGCAATACTTTGACCTGTGAAAATCGTCAGGTCTGAAATGTCCGAAGGAAACCTGGAGAACTACTGCTCGAGACCACTATGGCAAATGGACTGGTATTTATATGGCATTTTAAAAAATGGAATTCAAAACACTTTTTACTACAAGTTTCATTCAGCATATCACCCATGTGTTTGGTAGAATGAGGTGCTTTTGTATTAAAATAAATGACATTGAAGGCACAGAAAATATCACATGAATTGGAAATTGTTAAACCTGTCAAATCCATTTAGATGTCTCTTAAGGTCGGATGTTAAAACACAAGCAGAAGGAGGATCTGATGATCAGTGATTACTATTCTAGATTTAGCTTGTGGTTCTGTTTTTCAGGATTTTGAGCCTAAGGTAGCAGAACAAGAAGGGCTATTGATGAACCCTCACCACACAGACTATAATGTTATTCCCTACCCCAAGACGGGCTAAGAACAACTAAACTAAGAGCAAAACTCTGAAAGTTGGTGCATTTAGAAAAAAGCAGAACAGAGATGAACTGAGTTCAATAAACCTGAGCTTTACAGTATGCTCATTAGGGTTAGGTAAGCTTTTCTGGAAGATGTCGAGTTTGGTGGTTTATAAGAATTATTTGGTGTGTGTGTTTGTAAGTGTGTGCAAGCGTAGGAGGTGTCTACTGATGACACCAAAGGATTAGTGGAACAGGGGGGTCGGCTTTGTTTGACACAATCTTCTGAGCATCCCGATGTGTTTGTTTACTCTGATCAGTGTTTGTGTTGTGCACGCATCTGTCGTGTGTTTCTGTCAGCCTCCTATCCGTCTACTTGACTACGTCTGTGACTGTGTTTGAAGCCAAATTCTGTAACAATGGCTCCGCCTTCCAGGCTGTCTTACTGTACCGTCTGACATCCATGTTCACCATCTTCCTGCCCGGTCAGCCGTGACCCCGCATGAGCCAGACGCCCAGACAGCAGGACCTGTGCATGTTTCTGCTGTGCGTGTTGGAGGGAAACAGTGCCCCAGATAGCAGCGTGCATGTGTAAATGTTTATCACTCGACATGTCAGTGCATTGTGTGTTTGTGTGCGTGTGTGTCAATGACCCAGAGAGACAGCAGGGCCAAGAAATGACTTAAATGGCCACAGCTGCATTTCCATGGCAACAGGGTGTTTTAATAGAGGAACATTATGGGCTAGAGCGCAGGGTAATGACCGCTTTGGCTGTCGGAATGCCTTGATCTTATCACCATGGCAAGAGGGGATGCTCCCACTTTCTGATGGTCTAATAGCCCCGGCTCTAATAGACAGGCAGACTGGGCCACTGGGGTCACCCGGAAACACAGACCTTCCCAAAACACTCACAAACCAGTAATGCTGCTTGACTTTGGCCGTCATTTGTTCTATATCTGGTTTAAGCGTCTACCTATTACAACGCTGTCTTCCTGAGAAATAGGCTGCATTTTGCAAGCGTATTTGTGATGGAAATGTAATCAAAAGGCGTTTCTTCCAGCAGACGAGAGGACGAAACAAGGGGATGGATGAGGAGAGAGCAGGAGATAAGAGCTTTGCTGAAAACCTGTTTGTAGAAGAATGTCCTGTCACTGTTTTGGCACACACACACACACAAACACACTCATACTTGCTAACCCTCCCGAATCTCACACAGCTCGGCCGAGTATATACACGGACAAATCCTATAAGTCCATTTGAATACCACGACGGTCGTCTTCTAATCTGTTTGTTTGAAGCTTGTGATGAATCTACAGTTTTTCAGCGGACCCAGCACAGGCCTAATATCCACACTTATTTGTTCATGTTAAGGGTTGAGTTATTTCTCCACACAATTGGTTGGATGCCAGCAATGGAGTGTGTGTGTGTGTGTGTGTGTGTGTGTGTGTGTGTGTGTGTGTGTGTGTGTGTGTGTGTGAGAGAGAGAGAGAATGTGGCTCTTTATCTCACTCAATGAGTGAGTGGAGGTTGGTTGTAAGGCCATCTGTCCCTCTCAGACACCTAATCTGTCTCTGTCACTGTGCGCACACACACTTAAATGCTTGTACGTACCTATACAAATGAAATATCCTCTGCAGTGATGCTGCCTTATTAGATGCACCATCGCTGGACTATATGGTGCTACTCAGACCATAAATGACTATACAAACTAACACAAGTAAGCAGTTTTTCATTTGAATTTTGTTGTAATCAAATGAAAGTCTCTGTCCTTCATACTCTCAGACAGACGGTGCTCAGGGTGAGAGCTGTGCTTCTGCTGAAGTGTCCCATTGAGTTTGGTGAAGTGGACTTATCTCCTACCATCCCCTCTCGCATCACACTCACTACTGGATCCAGACAGGGCTGAGTGCCACACTGATCCTGCCCTCCTCACACCAGAGAGGCCTCTTTCTTCTGGGCTCGGTCCCACACTCAGACCCCCTCAACCTACCGCCGTCCTTACAGTTGTCGGAGTGCTGCATATCGCTAAAGGTAATGACCGTGTGTGTGTGTGTGAGGACTGGACAGTCGATGGTTGTGATAATGATGTCTGGAGATGCCAGATGATACTGTTTTTTTTCCTGACATGACAGTATACACACAGGGCCTGAGAGAGGCATGAAGGATCCTTGGTGCTATAGAAACTGGCCTTAGCAATCTATGCAGACTTTAGCAGATAACATTTATCAGACTCTCTGAACACGGTCTGCTCTAAGATTCCCAACCAGGCCTCCAGTGCTTTCTTCTTGGGTAATTGCACACGTGGCATGCAGATTCCACTCATATTTGCAAAACAGGGTACATATCGCACCCACAACATTTATAATAGATTCATGGATTGATTCATTTACACCAATTTTGCATTTTGGATTTTCATATTAATCACATAATAGGATTTGGATGTGCTGTGTCTGTGATTTTATTGGCCCCTTTCTTCTTACATATTGAGAAAGAGAAAGGGAAAGAGATTCAGTCAGTTCTAAAACCATCATATCCTACAGAAAATATGTGGCTCAAACAGATTTGATAACATACAGTAAATGCCACAAAAATGCTCTTTATGCCATCCAGGATCCCTCTGATCTCTAATTTGTAAAATAAAATGTCAATCTTAAGAAAATAGAGGTCATATAAAGACTTGTAATGTACTTTCCTTTTAATCTTCCTCACTCTTGACTTGGTCTCCCTCTTTTCTTCCTGTCTAGCAGTTCCATCTTCAACATCCTTGACTAATATACCCACTATCCCTGTTCTGCCCATATCCAAACCATCTCAGCTTTAACTTTCTCTCTTTGTCTGCAAACTGCTCAATCCTTTCCATTTGGGTCACTCCCAATAGAAATTTTAGCATTTTCAGCTCAGGCTCATGTCCTTTTGTTGGTGCCAATATCTCCAAAGTACGTAATTGAAGATCTCAGTACCTTCTGTCCTTGTGTCACAAATCCCCTCTGATACTTGTCTCCACTATTTCCACCCTGTCTGTCTCTCATTTTTACCTTTCTTGCGCTCTGTCCATTGACCCCAGGAAATGAAACTCATCCACCTTCACTTCCTCTGTTCTTTCCGTCTTCACTCTCTCTCACCTGCTCCCTAATCTGACTACAGTTCATAATGTCATCTGCAAACATCACAGTCCAAGGATGCTCTTGCCTGACCTCATCTGTCACCATGTCAAACAAGGTGGGGCTCTGATCAGATCACTGATGTAATCCCACCCCCACCTTGAACCCATCTGTCACTCCTACTGCATACATCACCCCTGTCTCTCTGTCCTCATACATGTCCTGCACATACTTCTGTCCCACTCCTGGCAGTACCACAGCTCCTCTTTTGGCTCCCTATTATATGCTTTCTCTAGATCCACAAAGACAGAGTGCGACTCCTCCTTACCTTCTTTGTACGTCTCCATAAACACTCTCAAAGCAAGCATCACATCTCTTGTGCTATTTCTCAGCATGAAGCCACACTGCTACACGCTGATCGTCTGATTCATCGTCACCTCTCTCCCTAACTACCACTAAACTTTTCCTCCAGGAAATGTTTCTCAGGCTTCCTCTCACTCAGAGATTGTGTTAAACAACCTGGTTATTTAACCTAAGCATGAAAAATATTCTTACAAACAGCAGTGCGGGAGGTCCTTGCTCACAGGACAGACAAAAATAGCTGTTTGAAATACTGCAACTGTCCACCTTCACTCACCCCCCACACGCACACAGACTACAGTATATACAAACACTAAACCTCACATGTCAAATTAAACAAAGAAGATAAAAACTACTAAATTTAATAACAAATGCTATTTAATCTCATGACTTAATTTGTGTAAATCTCCACATGTGAAAAAGCTAACCTGGTTATAGAGAGTCAGGAAGTTACACAGCCCAGACAAAACAGCCTGGTTCCATGTAACCAAAGCAAGTTGTGTGTGCACAGTTTAGACAAACATGATAGTGCTGTCGAAACATGAAAAAATATTTTATTATTTGGTTAAAAAAAAGATTGTTAGTAATGTAGTCTGCTGTCAAATGTTGCTTAAGAATATAAATAAGCTGAGACAGGTTGTCGAACTGAAGAAGATTTGATCCGTCCATACACTTACTGACCTCTTTATTAGGTACAGCTTCGGGGTGGACGGCCTTTTGGCTTCAGAACCGTCTTGATTCTTCTTCGCATAGATTCAACAGGGTGCTGATTTTGGTCCACATTGACATAACAGCATCAAGCAGTTGCTGCAAACTTGTCAGCTGGTCATCCATGATGCAAACTCCAATTTAACCTCATCTCAAAAGTGCTGTTTTGGACAGTCACCAGCTCTCAGTTCAATAACTCAGTGTCCTGAACTCACTGACATGTTCAACAAACCAGTGTGAGATTATTTGAGCTTCTATCCTGCTAGAAGGAGTCATTAGAATTAGGTTCACTGTAGTCATATAGGGATAGACATAGTCAGGTAACATTACTCAGGTAGGCTTAAACAATGTTGGGGCCAAATTGTGGCAAGAAAACATCCCCTTATGGAATATCCCCCATGTGGTCTAGCCCAGGATCGATGTGCTGTTCATTCAGAGATGCTCTTTTCCATACTTTGGAAGTGGTTATTTGAGTTACTCTCGCCTTTTTATCGATTGAAAGTAGTCCATTCACCTCTGACCTCTGGCATCAACAAAGACTTTTCACCCAGAGAACTGCTGCTCACTTTTTTGGACCTCTCTGTAAACCCTAGAGTCAGGTAGAGATGGATAGAGATGTGAAAATCCCAGTAGATCAGCATTTTGTGAAATACTCAGACCAGCACATCTAGCACCAACAACAATTCAAAGTCACTTAAATCACTTTTCTTCCTAATTTTGACAGTGAGTTTGAACTTTAGCTTGTCATCTTGACCATGTCTTCATGCCTAAATGCGCTAAGTTGCTGCCATGTGGTTGGCTCATTAGATATTTGCATTAAAGACGGGTACCTAATGAAATCGGTATTAGCACTAACATCTGAAGCAGGAAGAGCTGCACCTACACCACACAACTGTTCTAACTTTGCTGCACAATATGCAGTTTTGCAGGTGTGTAGTGCTTTGTTAGCTCCCCATCAGCGCTGGTTCTAACTTTTCAGTCTTTGCTTGCTGCACAGGTTATGCAAACAGTGTCTGGTAGTGTTTCCCACCACTGAATGCAATTTTTCCACTCGCAGTCTTAAAACAAGTTTTAATGTTAAGACTAGTAACTTTGAAGTGGCTGGTTGGTGAGGTTTTATGAGTTTTAAACTATGCCATGCAAGCTATTTTAAGCCAAGAGACTAACTGAGTTTAGAAAATGCATATTAATTATACGGGCTTTAAGCATTTTGTTTTTCATCCAGCTCACAGCAAATTAGCATAGCTCCCAAAACATCCCACTGGTTTGGTTTTGGGGTTTTTTGAATAATGCTCAGATCGTATGTTGGAGCATGTCATTATTCAGAATGGATGAACATGGTTTCATGCCATAAACGTTAGTGTTTTGTTTTTATGATACATACAGAATGTTACTTTTAGGAAATTGTTTTTATGTCATTTTCATCCACATCTGAATTTAAAGAAACTATGCCTTGAATTAAATTATGTCTTTGAAGTAACCTGGCATTCTTTTCATTAAATCCAGTTGTAAGAAGCATTTACTCTATGCATAGTTAATTTATCAGTTTTTATTTTAAAGCATGGCTGCATGCCTCACTTTCTTCCTTCTGGTTGATTGTCTGGCACTGTATTTATTTGTCAAAATGCATTAGGCAATTTGTTGATTGACTGGCACTAGTAGTAGGAAATGTTAAGGTCTCACTCTCCCTTTCTCTGTTGAAACGATAGTGGTATATTGCAGCAGCTGGATATTCACATGGGGGGTAATTATACGTTCACATTCTCCCAAACATTTCAAAGGCAAAGCCCTCTCAACATCACCTTTCACTTATACTGTGCAGTGCCATCAGACTGCATGTCCTTGGTGCTGTTGTTGTATGCGTTTTGGCTCTCTGTGTGGTAAACAGCTGTTGGTGTGTGCTTTAGTGCCTGATAAACACATTAGACTGTTGTTTACTCTCCTCTAAACTATCCCAGTTCAAACACTTGATAGATTTGGATCTCTTAGCCAGTAATGAAGATGTGAGTGCGCTTTATCTTAGCATTGTACAAAATCACGCTACCCTCTCGTGTTTAACACGTGCATGCATAAAAGTCATGTGCAGTTAACATCTATGCCTCTATGTTGCCAGAATGGAAAACGTTTCTGATATGTCTCAAATAATTTTCCAGCTTGCAGCTTTCTTTACCGTAATATCGAGGCGTCCGTCATGCAGATGCCATAAATTCAATTCTATGACCCAGTTTTAGTGTTTGCATATAGCACATGTGTTTGAATCTGGTGATTTAGTGAACTTGCATGCTGCTGCACAGGTTTTGCAACTGTGGAACATATATGGAGGATAAGACGAAATGTTCTTTTAGATAATTTGTCAGTTGCATGTAACACTGTGGGCATGGGTCTGTGCATGAACAATGTATATACAACACATTCATAAGTTCCATGTGTTATGCATGATGTATACTAACTATAGTGCTGCTGGCTGCCCCTACACTCTCTGCACGAGAGGAACAGTTTTCCATTCTGAGATGGATCAAAACAATGTCAGTAGTTGGCTGTAGTTACTGGAGAGAGATGTAGACACAATGGAGTATTGCCAAAAGAAGGTGTGGTGTGCCCCTGGGTGCAATTTAAAATACCACCACTCTTTCAGGCACTGGGGCACCAGTCACAACACAAAGCTTCTATTTTCCACCTAAACCTTTATCTGCAATAATGCAGGTTGTTGCACTGCGTTATGATGTCATCTTTTCCACACTGCTTTAGTTTTGAGTTGTGTTTTTTTTTTAAATTTCCAAATAAACCACGAATGTTAATTTAGAACAACATTAAACTGATTCACTGTTTAGCAGTAAAACTACATCCTCTGATTTTCATTAA